ACACAGGAACTTAAGGCCCTGTTCAGGTTTGAACAGTTGGAACTGGATGAAGATGCTACCCCCTGAAGTCTAATGGGATTGGGGTATGGGAAAGGGAGGTCCTCCAAGGAGAGAGTGCTACCACGCCTTGTTAAACAGGAAGCAACTTATTACTGCTTGACTTGTTCCTCAGAGACCTAGTTTGTACAACCTTAAACTGAGAATCTGGATACCTCTGCAAAACCTGTAGAATCAGTTTCAAAGATCTTCATTTTCCCCGATAATGACTCCTTTCTCATATGTAGTATCAATACTTAGCATGATACCTGAATAATCATGCGGATCTAAATTGATTTCCCTGTTTGACCTAAGCTAAAAGTGGAATAACTGGCCTAATTCTGTTTTATGATCTTTTCTCTCTCACCATTATTTCTGCAAGATAGGTGGGCTTATGAAAATAAAAATTGCTGCTGTTACTGAGTTACTATTCTTATTTATGCAAGGGGAAAGATTCTGCATGTTCAGCAAGCAAGTAGATGGAAAAGATCTTGTTTATGTGTTGACTTACAGACTCAGAAATGTTCCGTTAATGAATGGATTTGAGGCAAGATGTTCTACAAGACAGATTTGGGGGGCATGTGTGAAATAGCTCCTGTTCCTGACCTTTAGCAGTCTCGCCAATCATGGCACTTCGGGTGTTTGCTTTCCATCTTTCTACCTCTGTTTCATCTTGCCGCTTTTCACTCTCAGCTACTTAGATGTCGAGAAGTTTAGGGTCAAGTCTTCCAGATATTTGCTCCATGCCTTAACAAATGAGATCGTAATCTTTTGGTTTTGTAGGCAGTTGGCTAATATTTATTGATTAGTTTCTCCGTTGACCTTGCTTCATGGCTTTTCCATCGCCTGGTTCGCTCTGCAGATCCTCTCTGAAGATTCGGTGTCAGGTTGTTAATGCAGCGCACACCTGGGGTTTAACTGCCACAGCTACCTTATTTGCAGAAAGGAAGAATTCTGTGCTGTAGTGAATCCTGTAGCCTTGGTGAGAAATACCTTATCAAATACAAATGTAGAATAAGATGTGTATTACCGAGGAGGAACTGAAAGATAACTTAATGTTCTTCGTTTTTCCTCTTACTATGTTTCTTTGTCAAGCTTAAATGAAGGAGTGTCTATGTGCACATATATTATAAATATATATGAAAACTATAGTGAAGTGTATGCTTTGCCAGAATCTCACTCAAACGTTCTAGTAATCTTGGAAGTGAACGGCAAACTAACTTAGTTTGTATGACAGACTGCAGTAGCACTCTAATCCAGCATCTAATGCTGCTTCCTGTTTCACATAGAATAATGTGTGCGCTTAATTTCTCCATGGATTAAATGAGAATGTCTGTTCAAGGCATATGTATAAAGTCAGAGATAAAATGGATTTTAAAGTAATATAACTGCTAAGACTCTTTCTCTAAATAGAGAAATAAGGTCAATCTTTAGGGGAGAGACAGTAATGGCTCTGTAAGAGTTCTGCAATAACCTAGGTTATCTTAGTACATGCATGGGCTTAACTTGTACTTTCGGAGTAAGCACTTTCAGACATAACTGCATTCATTTTGCAAGGTGGGGAGGCAGTGGGCTTCTCTAACCGTACCTTTCTGAAGTTGATGCACTTGCCTCTAGAGAGGGGAGGAGAACTGCTGCATGTGGAAAAACCCTAAGTAGCTTGATGACTGGGTTATTGTCTAATGATGAATACACTTACTGACTTACTTATTTTTACCTCCTCCCCCCAGTACTTCCTTGAGATGTTTGGGGGTAGGACTAATCTACTCTGTAAGTATAACGTGTTGATCATTAACGCTGATGTTTATCTTGTTTTATTTTCTAATGAAACATATGTGAAATGATAAGACAGTAGAAACAACTTTATTCATTGAAGGCTGCAAAGTTGGCTTATATGGCCTTTTTTTTTTCTTTTTCCTTCTTAAGCAAATAGGAGAGAGAGAAGTTTTACTCTGCTGTGGAGAAGGAAAAACACTGTTCTAGCCAGAGTTCAGGAAGGCTTTCTCTGGGGTAATGATGAGCCAAAACTGTAAGTTGCTGATGTATCCAAATACTTTCCTTGATGGCAATTTAAGTGCCCCTTTGGCCAAAAAAAAAAAAAAAAAAGTGATAATTCAAAAGTCTAATCTCTCTTCTGATTAGAACCTGCCCGGCAAATACTCTTTTTTTTGTTTGTTTGTTTTGTTTTGTTTTTTTAAGCCAAGTAATAACTAATTAAGCTTCTTGGGGGTGGGGGGAGGAGGAGAAAACCAATTGACCTCTTAAGGCTGAGCTCAGCAGGGTCTAACCAAAGCTCCCTCCTGAAAGGGCGAGTTGCTTTGAGACTGAGCCACTCTCCCTGCCTGATCTCCCCACCACGCGCCGATCCCATTTTTAGCCATAGTGAGCAAACAAGATGAGAATACGCGCAGACAAGTTGCTGAGCTCTCAGAGAACTTTCAAGAAAAGCAGAAGGACGTTAAGTTGCATCAGAATTTATTTTTGTTTTACCAATAACGCAAGAAATTCAAGCTTGTTATGTAGTGCTGCTAAGGTTTTCGTACTTAAGTGTGATTACTGTTAATTCATGAGGTACAAATTGTAGGTCGATCTTACCTTAAAAGGTTTTACATGTAAAACTTTTGCTATGCAAAAATCCAACTAGTGCACTAAAATGGGAGAATATACCATACGGATACACTTTTGGTGTGGATGCAGGTAACCCTGCAATTTAAGCTTTGTTGTAAATATAAAAAGCAAAGGTTTTGTTCAATGGGTGCAAGTTTGTGTCTAGACTAAAGAATTTGAGTTTGTTTTTGCTCAACTAGTTCAATGCTATGAAAAACTTTTACAACTGGAATGACTTTATCTATATAAAATCATGTACTAGCTTAATGCATAACTTTACCTTTTTGATTAATGTAGCAAAAGCTGGAGGAGGTGACGCTTGTGTGCACTTAATTTTAAAGAAACACTTAAACATGGGGTATACCCCTATGCACCTGAATAAAACTATTTATATGGAAAAGAAGTCCTGTTCTGGCAAAGGATATGTAACTTCAATAACAGAAACAAGCAAACAGAACCAAAGTACTATGCAGGGTTTTTCCTTACAATTACTTTCTGTGGAGAATTTTGTTTTCATTTTTCCACTCTATAACTGTTTGTAAAAATGTGCTGGCAAAAATCACTGAACTCTGTGCAAAATGGCAAATAAGTCCCTGCTCTGAGGAGATTCCCGTACAACATGGATAAGGGTCCAAATCTCCAAATTGCTTTTCCGCAGTGACATTTTGCAGAACGTGGCTGTATTTAACACACTTTAATGGAGATAGTCTCTATTTGCTGATGACCATGTGGTTGCTCAGATACCAGATAAGATAATCTGGCAAGTTATTGGCATATACAAAACTTGCCTCCTTCCTGCTTAAGAGGGAATAGCTGTGTTCACTCAAATTGGAGAAGTGCTTATGTATTTCAAAGCTGTACACGTTACTATGGCTGCTGATGTTGCCAGAGCTGGCAAATCAGGTTAATTTTCTTCATGAATCTCCATAGATGCCAAGAGCGTAATTCACATCATCCATCTTGGCAACACAGCGTAAATAATTCTTTGTGTATTCAGGACCTCAGAATCCAGAGTGGGGAAAACGGGTTAAGAAAAATGAGAGGGGGGGGGAAAGCTGCTAGCATACTTTCAGTGAACAAGGCAGGTCGTTTTCGACTATTCACTGTGCTACTGCGAGACTACTATGTTTCTGTCTGCAGTGTTAGGTTTTGTTTGTTCTGTGCTTTTGCTTGCTTGCTCTAAGCTAAAGGGGATACTAGAGAATAAAAATTATCATCCGAAGTCTTTGGATAATTCTAGTTTCCAGGGTCTCGCTCATACAAATCAATCATTCTGTGATTTGTTTTTCCCCCCTTTTAACCTGAAAAGTAAAAGTAGCTCCTAGAGTGCCTATCGACCTCTGATCTTCCAAAATATATTTAATTTGCAGTGCATAACTCTTCCTGGGGGAGTTGAATGAAGGCTAAAATTGAACAAAAGCTGAAAGTTTAGCCTTTCCTTGTTTGCCAGGTGCCTTGAATTAGGTATATTAAAATGGTTCTGCTTAGGGCTTTGCCCTGCTCTTTGCTAGCGCTGTCCGCCTCGGCCGGGAGCCGTGTACCGCGGCGTGCTCAAAGCCCCGCACCTCCCCCGCAGCGTTACGCTCTTTGCCCTTCCTGCCTGCATGCACCGACCTGTATCGGGGCGGG